TCTCGTTCTTCTTGTTTCTTTTCTTGTTTAATTTCTCGTTCTTCTTGTTTCTTTTCTTGTTTAATTTCTCGTTCTTCTTGTCTCTCTTCTTGTTTAATTTCTCGTTTTTCTTGTTTCTTTTCTTTTTCCTCTAACAACTGTTGTAATTTCTCTTCTCGTTCTTCTTGTTTCTTTTGTTGTTCGAGCTGCCATTGTTGCAGGTTTTCTTGCAACTGCTGTTGTCTCTCTTCCTGTTTCTTTTGCTGTTCTTGTATTGCTGCCATCAAATCTGCTAAACTGTAGTTTGATTTGCCGCTTCTCGTTTCCATCTTCTCTTTTTCTTTTTTTTATCCCACTTTCTGACACGAATTTGTTACGTCTCCGTTCGTTAGTTGATTTTCCGTAACTTCGTTCCGACGAAACTTTAGCGACACAAGTCCTTACCTAATAAAACTGGTTTATTCTTTCCGAATACAACTTTACGATACACTTATTTTCAACAGTCGCGCTATAACAAACGCTATAACAACGAACGTTAACTTCAACAATACTTTCTGACTGCAGTTGAATTACTCAATACCTATACACATTCTGTCACGTCACGCCGTGACCATCTTATATATACCAGACCACCCCCAATCTAGCAAATGCTAGAGCACTCCCGAAGGAACAGGATAGTTCTAGAAAATAGATGGCGTGACACCAGTCACGTGACCTCGCTGACGAACAATATTTTAAAAAATGGAGCTAGTCTAACACCATAGACTAACCTTATGTAACCAGTTCATTGGGCCATGGTAAGTAAATTATTCTTATTAAATTAATTTATAATTCTGACGTAACTTAGAATTTGTGGTACTTTTTTAACATAATATGACACTTACAGAGTGACATTCAGCCTTTTAATTTTGTAGATCAATTGTTGAGTACTTTATTTTTTATTTTTCACATTGCTGTTTTGGTTTATTTGTATTGAAACCCTATTGTTAGTGTCTTGAGCCTACAAACTTGCCACTGATGGGTTGGACAGGGGGTATTACTATTTTTTGTTACGTTTAAACACCAACACCTGGAGAAGTATTATAAATTGATACACCTAACATCTGTAGTTTACGTGTTTTTTTATCACAAATGTTAAATATTACAGTGAATTATGTTTAAACTTTTTTTTTATCAAGTTCATATCAGGTTGTGTAAATATTCAGATGTCTTATTGGTTTATAATAATTAGGACATGTTTAGTCCTCACGATTGGCTAGAAATAACACACGGTACGTTATTGATAGTTTTGCACACGAATCTTGTACTCACTCGGTCAATATAAGAACACGACTCAATCATTACGAACAATTGGATTGTATGAGAGTTAGAAAGAGGAGTAATTGTAATTTGTTAGTATTTATTAAGGGTAATTATGTCAGATTCAGCCTGTAAATGTGGAGGTAGGTGTCTTTGTGTATGATTTATGATATATCTAGAAAGTGAGGAACTTTGAAGTTAGTTTCATAAGTAACTTGTATGAACTTGTTTATCAGAACCACAAAAACTATTTAAAATATCTTGACTAAAGGGTAACTTGACTGTAGACACAGAATTAAATTACTAGTCTTTTTTTTTACTAAATATTTACGTAATAAAATTATACAATACTTATTTCTGTTTAAAGATTCTCTGTGCACATGCGTCAAAGAGTGCACGTGCGGCAAGCTAGACGGATGTAAGTGCGCCACGTGCAAGAAAAAAGAGGAAACTGAGAAAAGTTGCAAGTGTAAAGGTATGAAAGCTTTTATTGTGGCGAGTGGAGTCTTGTTTAAAATGTAAAGTACCAGGAATCGTTTAAATCATTATATCTGACAATATAAGTGAAATATTGGTGTTTGACAATTAATTACTTCTTTATCAGCTACAAGTTACTTTTCTTACTATTACCATCCACGTTTTTCCGTGAAGAACCCTATACTTTATGCACATATACTAAAATGGCTCTTATTTAACATTTCTACTTTATATTCTGATTAGCATTTTGATTTCTGTATATTGAGTTCGAAACTATAATCGTTTTTCAACCTTGTTAGCGTATATAGATGTACAAGCGTCATAATTTCAAAATTGAAATGTGCTGCGGGTTAGAAAAAAAATGCGGGTTATAGAATTGTAGCAGAATGTTCCGACTAGACAATTTACTGAAGATTCAAATTCGTTAGTAATATTCGTAACTGTACCTGATCTAACTTGGAGGTAAGTGTTTTATACCTAATGTACTCTATCCATAGAACTGATTTGGAAATTGCTTTACAAAGTTTAGGACTTCTGATTCTATACAACAGCATAGACCTGGCGAATAATTAAATTTAGTTGTATTTTTTCGCGTATTCTTCATAAGCAACCGAACGTAATAAAATTGGGAGGGGGAGTCAATGGTTATGACTCTTGTGCGCTAACAATAATGGTGGAGCGTGTGTATATCAATAGACTTTATAACTTATCACTGTCTCTACCAACCTACCCCCAAACGTACTTGCACCCATAGTAGAGCATTGTCGTATGGTGTATGTTGCATCTCTATGGGTACCATAACGGTTGACATATAGGCTTTTCCACTCTTTTCGTATAATATGTATAATGTCCCTTACCTTATGTAATAAGAACAATACCCCTGGAGAGAACTACCGTAGAAAGTGACTTCAATATGAAGCTCAAATATTGGGAAGTATTAGTGAGTTATAACTATTGTTACGACAGCGGAGGTCACGTGACGCTAGTAACACGTGATAAGTGTCTCGAAGGTTCATGAAGAGGCGAGTGCATTCTAGACTCCCTCTATTGTTGTGTATAAGCGCGGCAAATAAAGCGAAATAATTAATTGGATAGGAGACGGAGAAATAGGGAGACAGATAATCGAGTCAAGTCGTAAGTAAAGTGCGTGAATCGTTGTGAATTATAGCGTGTTTATAAAAGTAGTTAAAGTGACTGTGGAAATTAAATGTATTGCAAAGTTTAATTGAGAAAGAATAAACTACTTTTATGTAAGAAATAACTTGTATCGCTAAAGTTTCATCCGAAAGAAATTTTACGGAAAATTAACAAACGAACAGAGACATAACAATATGTTGGAAATTCGTTAGTAATAATCCTAATTATACCTGATGCAACCTGGAAGTAATTAAAAACTAATTACTATATGCTATCCATAAAACTGATTCGGAAGTTAGTTTATAATAATGTAGTATATTCACTGGCTTATATACCTGAATATATGCACAGAAATATTTTATTTATTATTAAATTGGGTCTTCTAGTTATATACAGCAGCATAGACCTGGCTAATAATTGTTAATTGATGTCTTAATTTTACTAGATATATTTTAAGACCTTGGATTGCGGACTAAAATGTTTATATGTATTATAAATAATAGTAACCCGCTCACTCCTTCCGGGATTTCTTTCTCCCCCCCCCCACCTCTCCCATTACTTCTAATTCTTAACCTATCACTGAAATAGCTTTTACATAAATGTAATTTAACCTGTATTTGTGCATCAAGAATACTAATATCTCATGTTAAGAAGATAACTTAAATCCGACGATAAGGTTTCACTTGCCAGTTTTTACAAACATTTAATATAAACTTCCAATTGTATTCGTGTTAAACAATGACTTCAATTATTCTGTTTCAGCATTGTATTTCACATCTTAAGGAACTTGATGGATCAGTTATTTTATAGTTACATCTTTTTATACAAAGTAATATATCTTTAGTTTGATTAAAAGTTAAATAACAAGGTAAGTAATGTGTACACTAACTTCACTGTAGATAAACTTTTTTTTCTCTACGTGTTCGTTATGTGAATTTCCAAACATCAAACACAACATAACGTTTCTAAAATAATCGACTATTTTTATATCATAAGAGATCAATCTGATAACTACACTAGTTTACATGAAGTAAACTTAGGCCACACTTACCTTTGTTTAAAGATCCTACGTGCACATG